GAAGGTACCTGGAGACAAAAACTCAAGCAGATGCCAGGGAGAAAAACTGCTTACTGCCTTGTTACCCATGACTTCCTCAGTTTGCTTTCTTATACAGCCCAGGACACCTGCCTATGAGTGGCACTATCCATATTGGTATGGGCCCTCCTGCATCAGTCACTTTTAAGATAAAAGCCAGGATTCACCTATGGACCAATCTGATAGAGAAATTTTTGCAGTTGAAATTCCTTTTTCCAGTTGTCCCTGGCTTGTGTCAACTTGAAAAAAAAATCTAACTGGGACACATGGATTAAGGAAAATAGCTAAGCAAGTATGAGATCCTAAGTTCAAATCCCCAGAGTCCACAAAAGTCTAGGGGTAGTAATATGTGTTAGTAAACCCAATGTTCCTATAGACAGACGGGAAGTAGAGACAGTAGAATCTATGGAAAGTCAGAGTTCAGCTAAGTCAGTGTAGACAAATGCAAACAAGGGGTAAGGTGACAAGTGCCACCTGAAGGTGTTCTCTGTCCTTCACAGGCAAAACATGACACACCATACTCATTGTCACACATGACCACCATGCACAAAAATAAACAAAACAACAACAAAACAAATATGGAGGTAGAACAGTCCCTTTCACAGCTGTCAACTCTAGGCAATTGAAAATGTGAACATTTCCATTTAAGTCCTTCATACACAACAAACAGTAGGATGTGGAATTGGGGGCAATGACATCTACTGGAATCAAGGAAATTCTGCTCCATTCTGAGACGGATGAGATAACCATTATCGGTGCTTTTTTCAGATGGTTGCCAACCTGTCTGGATGTGAGGCCAAGGACTCAGAGGCCCTGGTACACTGCCTACGAGACATGAGTGAAGCAGAGATTCTGGCTATCAACCAGGTTGGGAGAATTGTATAGATTGGAGGACCTGGTCACCAGGATGTGGGATTGCCAGTACTTACTACTCAAACCAGTTAACTTGACTCTATGATTAGATGTCCTTTAGTACTGTGTGCAAAAAGAACAAGATGGGATAATTTTGATGTCCTATTTCTTCTGCAGTGAGCATAGCACCCTGCGATGAGATAGGAAATAGGGAAATACTGTGGATATTCAGTGGGCATCAGAATATTTACATGGTTAATCTTCAGCACTGACTCCTAATGCCTCATAGGTCTTCAATATGATTCCTGGAGTGGTGGATGGGATGTTTCTACCTAGGCACCCTCGGGAGCTGTTGGCCTCTGTGAATTTTCAGCCTGTCCCTAGCATCATTGGTGTCGACAGTGATGAGTGTGGCTGGGGAGTCCCCTTGGTGAGACCTAGTTCTAAGCCCCTGGGGACCTAAACTCAAATGGTGGGTGGTGGGAACTCAGGTACTTTGATCTAAATCCAACCCATCCTATACTTAAGACTCTCCTCTACCTCCTAGTTGAAGGGCCTTGATCCTGTCATAAACAACATAACCAGAGATACTCTGCCAGCTATTCTGAAGAGCACAGCAGCACAGATGGTGAGCAATGTTGAATCCTATCCTAACAGAGAGGGTTCCCGTATATTCTTCTAGGATGGCAAGCTCAGAAATAAATGTTAGTGTATGAGGGTATTTCTGTGTGGGCTCACCCAAAGCTCATACCTTTCCCTCTA